TATTTCAGCCATTATTTTATAATTTGAACAGATCTGAGTCATCCAAATGTCCTAATAGGACAAAAATATGTTGAAGATTCAAAAATCGTCCTGCTTCATTAAAATATGTTGAAGATTCAAATAAGGTCTAAATTTATAAAGTTTATTAGGTATTCAATATATTTAAAAATAATAATTAATTGTTCAAATTCATTTAATTTGTGGACTATAAAATTCATTAATTTAATTTTCACTACACACAGTAAAATCTGGCTCCTAATTTTGGGATCGCAGACTTTTCCATATAATATGAATAAAAATATGTGAACAAAAAGGAGAAAATAAAAAAAATAAACAAATAAAGAGAAAAATAAAAATGGGAGAAAATAAAAAAATAAAAGAAAAGAGAGAGGAAGATGGGATCATGGGATCATAGAAGGACGGGTGAGAAAAAGAAAAAGTAAGAGAGAAGGGGGAAAATAGAAAATGTACATGTAGGATATTTTTTAAAAAATATATCTCAGCCGTTATTTTATAATTTGAATAGATCTGAGCCGTCCAAATGTCCTAGTAGGACAAATATGTGTGGGACAAATTCAAATGATATCCGACTTTATTATATAGATAGATGAATATGCTATATTATTATATAAAATGAACAAATTTGGTGGTGTCATGAAACATTCTCCCCTTATGCTGTCAAGTATTTATTTTGTTTTGTTTTTAACCTCAAACTTAAAATCAATGTTCAAATGAAGAAGATTTTTATCACTTAAATGACACATAGGCTCGTTTGGCATGTGAGTGTTTTAGCCTAAGTGTCAAAAAATTATTAAAAAAATCAAAAAATTTATAACTTATACAAAAAAGTTAAAGATTATTTTTTTCTCTAATTTTTGCACATCTTTTCGTAAAAAAATAAAAATAAAAAGTCATTCTAAATATACTAAATTTTTTTACCTCATATTTTAGCCAAAAAATCAAAAAGTTACTAAAATATTCTGTCCTCAAACAATGTCATAATATATAATAAGGGTTGGTTTGGCATACTTCAAAAAATCTAAAAAACTAAAAAGTTATTAAAAAATTTAAAAAGTTATCACTATTCACCCAAAAAAATATATAAAAAAATTAATTTTACATAAAATTATTACAAACAACTCTGACGTCCCCATAAACGCAGAGCTGACATTTTTGGAAAAATTGCACAGCGGGGTGCACAAACAACACGGTGTTGTTCAGCCCATGAGAGCCCATTACGGGTCTCGTTTTTATAATCTGAACCGATCAATGTGTAAAACTCATCGAGTACTATGTGCTTGTATAAAAAAATGGATGGTGTTATAATTAACGGTTGAAAAAAAACTAATCTGATCAGATAGCTATCGATATCCGATCAATATGATTTTTTACAAGCATATAGTGCTCGACGAGTTTTACACATTCAACGGTTCTCATTAGCAAAACGGGACCCGTGGTGGGCCCTCACGGGCCAAACAACACCGTCCAATTCAATGCCCGAAAAGGAGGAAACTATCTCCTAGCCTATGCTCTGCACATGTTGCCCCTTAGGACATCGCATCATGCTGCCTATTCTATCCCAATCTTCTCCTATACACTAATTTATATAATTTTTTAATACATATTTTTTCGTAAAAAGTCAAAAGTTATCCCAAATAACCATATTTTTTTCTCAACTTTTTAGTCAAAAAGTGTACTAATTTAGGACATCCCAAACAACCTCTAAATATTTTATTTTATTTTTACTTATTTAAATTACAAACGCATTACGTGTGTCATCTGTTAGCATATATATATATATATATAAAATAAGAATTGTAAAATGGTGACAAATTAGAGGTATTACATCCCAGTGAATGTCAGAAAAAAAAATACAAATCATAAAAATATTTATAATTTTAATTATTAATATTTATAAAATTTCTCATGATTTGTAATTACTTTTTCAAAGTCCGCTGATGCAATATTTCCCCGAGGAATTTCCTGTGTAATTTTTAAGGACGGCTCCTCTTTTTACATTACGGGGCAAATTTCCTTTTAAAAAATTAACTATGACTCCAATATTTATATTAATTCACAATCATAACCAATTTACAATTTATACTTCTCGGGTTATATGAAAGAACCATACTCATAATCATAATTAATTTTTAAATTTGCACAAATCATGAGGTGTCCTGATAAAACCAATTATATATATATATATATATATTTAATAATAGATAAATTAGATAAACTTTAGACTAGGGTTTATGGTCGAATGAAGAAGATTTCTTATTACTTGAATAACACACAATATATAGTAAATATTTTATTTTATTTTTACTTATTTAAATTACAATATATCATATATATCATCTGCTAGTATATATTTATAATAATAAGAATTGTAAAATGATGAGAAATTAGGGGTTATTAATTATTCCCAAGTGGAAGGCCGAAAAAAAAAAAATATACAAATCCATGAAAAAATATATAAATTTAATTATTAATATCTCCCTCCACCCTTGCATGATTTGTAATTACTTTTTCAAAACCCGCTGATGTAATATTTCCCCGAGGAATTACCTCTGTAATTTAAGGACAGGCTCCTCTTTTTACACTAGGTGGCAAATTTCCTTTTGAAAAATTACACTATGACTCCAATTTTTATATTAATTACACAATCATACCAATTTACATTTTATACTTCCCGTGTTATACGAGAGAACCATACGTATAATTATAATTAATTTTTAAATTTTACACAAATCATGAGGTGTCCTGAAATCTTTTCTGTTTATGCTACCAAGTGTCCATTTTATTTTATTTTTTATTTTTCTATTAAAAAAATAGATAGATGAAAAGAGTAAGACTCGAAGTATAGGCTTAGAGTTTAAGGTCAAATGAAAAAGATTCTTACCACTTGAATAACACATAACATATAGTAAAATTTTATAATAAGGATATAAACGTTTCATGTATGCCAACTGCTAGGATATATATATAATATATATATAATAAGGTTGTACAACAGTGAGGAATTAGAAAATATTACATTCAAAAAAAATATACAAATTCATAAAAATATTTATAATTTTAATTATTAATATTTTTAAAATTTCTCATAATTTGTAATTACTTTTTCAAAACACGCTCATGTAATATTTCCTCGAGGAATTACCTCTGTCACTTTAAGGACAGGCTTCTCTTTTTACATTAGGTGGCAAATTTCCTTTTGAAAAATTACATTATGACTCCAATGTTTGTATTAATTACACAATCATACCAATTTATATTTTATACTTCACATGTTATATGAAAGAACCACACGCATAATTATAATTAATTTTTAAATTTTACACAAATCATGATTAATTAATTTTAGTATATAATTAAGACTAATTTTAAGAATCGACATTTTACAAATTGACAACTCTCCTTCTAGAGCGACTTTTGAGCAAATTATAAGACTAATGATTTGAGCTCATAGTCACTTAATATTTTTAAGAGACTAGATAATTTCTACTGATGGAGGCATGCAAACAAACTCCCTCAAATTCATTTACAAAAAATTCGGATAGATCTAGATAGATATAGGTTAACACGGACATGTAAGTCATGTTATACTGTTGAATAACAAGCCTTCAATTTTTCTATTTTATTTATGAAAATTCATATGTTTGAGAGTCCCAGATGATTAAATCAATCAAGATTTTATCATAATTGCAATTTTAGAGAGACGAGAAATAAATTAATATTCATCTTGAACAAGATGATGAAAGTCATAATCTTTTCAAAGTCGTAGATTTGTAAAATAAAATAATATATATATATATATATATATATATTTACATTTAAATAAACCATGTAACAACAAAATAATGAAAAACAATTGAATGCACGTTTGACTGATTTGGTATGCAATGAAATAATGCACCCGTCGGGGGCACACATCAAATTCTTGGAGACTCGCATAAGTCGTGCTTCAGTTAAATTGTAGCAAAGGGCACGCGTACTCTTCCCCTTCATTTTCAAAACGGTTTGTTTCATTTTTCTCTTCTGTGAAACTGCCAAATTAACTGATAATATAATGCATTTTTTTTATTGGATAATATAATGCATTTAACCAAGCTTAAGTTTCTTAATCTAATTTGGTCAGTTTTTTGAAACACAAAAATCTCAAATCACCCTTGTGCATTTACAAAACATAAATATTTTTAAAATAAAGAATCCCGTGAAATATAATTTTTATTTTTATTTTTAAGAACAGAAAATCTTGTACCAGTATCGCCATAAAAGTATATATTTTTCTCTTTGCTTCTGAATTTCACCCAATGGGACTCTTATTCCAACTACTGCTGGATAATCAGATTCTATGAAAGCTCCTCTCCCTGCGGGCGGGCGGTCGGTCTCTCTCTCTCTCTCTCTCTCTATATATATATATTTATATATCCAACTTTCTAGGAGCTACTTGGTCAATATATGTGGAGAGAAATATGATCGGAGATGATTTGCATGGTCCCATTATGTTGCAACCATGAATCTCTGCTTTTTGTTTTTTCAGAATAAAATTCATGCTACTTATACTGCAGATTATTGAGCAACAATGAAAAGAGAAAGGTAGAAAGAAAACAAGTTTCATTGGACAAACTTGTTCAGTTAGAGCAATTTGGTTGAATCATGAGCTGCACCATACCTTGATACTCTTGCAGTTTAGTGATGAAACCAGGATTTTAGAAAGGACAGTGTTCATCCCTTAGTTTTACCTTTCCATAAAGTCATGCTGCTAGTATCACACAATCGGTTGGAATGATTTACAAACACCTTCAGAGCCGTGCCAAGCGAACGAAGTAACCAGTCAAAGGGCTGAGCTCATTCTGAGACTTTCTGTTTCACCATTAACTCACAGCTCTGCAAGGGCTGTTCATGAGGTGAGGAATCCCACAGATCCCGTTTTGTTTGGCTAAACAGAAACCTATATGAATCAATTTCAATATGAAGCAGAAACAAATCAAGACTTTCAGAAAATTACAACGGTTGATACGATATACATCATATCAGAAGGTAGAAAGGGAGATTTGATTATTTGTACAAACTGCTTTATTAGTAGTAGTAGTTGCAGGGATATAAGTCGGACAACATAAAATACAGTCCAAGGTGTCTTTCAAGTGTCCTCACTCACATAATGGAATTTGGTTTTCAATCCCATAGTTTTATGAAATTAAAATTCTCACCTTCAACCAAACATCCCCCATAGTGAAATATAAATGCTACCCCCCCTATCTGCACAATTAAGCTAATCTTCATGTACACATTCCACACACACCATCAGGGGTCGGGTTAGCAATCTTTGTCCTTGTTTTGGTTTTCGTACATGACATGTCGCACAAATTGTCCTCGAACACGTGGTCTCTGTTCTGCCAGTTTCTTCCTGCTTTGGTACCGGACCTGCAAAAAGCATGGTAAGGAAAAAATAATTATGTCCCTTTTGCTGCTTTCATAACAAATTATAAGCATGAAGTTTGAACTATGTAGCACAGGGTAGCAAATTAAAATTCATTCATTTATTTGAATTTATTTATCCACAGAATGTCACATGTGTGGCCTGCCCAAAGGACGACCTCTATTAAGCTGGAATGTACATAGTGTTCTTTCCAAGTAGGTGTTCATCTAGTCATGTGCAAGCCATGTCACACAGACTCGGGACAGGTGTCGGGGGCGTATTTAGAGGTTGGACCCTTGAAACCTCAAATTACGATGTACCCGACTCAACAAAAAATGGTCATACTTTTTATATTTTTAATCCATTATGTGAAATAAAATGATATTTATAAATTATACGTAATATAGTGTCAAATAGACATTTTACAACAATATATACATATAATGACAGCGTTAAATACAAATATATAAGAAGTATCTAATGGAAAGTATCGGACACATCCCACACTCGGTCAGGTGTCAGGTATTTCATTTATGGGTTTATGGATAAATTACAAATACACCCCTTAAGGTTTGCTTAAAATACAAATCACTTCTGTGATTTGAAAAATTACAAATATTTTATTATTAGAATTTTTTATATAATAGAATTAACTGAAAAAACGAAATTTTTAACTATTCTACTATACAATAATAAAATTATTTAAATTATTAACTAAAATATATTTCTCATATTATTAAAAATTGTTAATTTACTTGATGATTTATTAATAAAATGGGTCACTTATTACGAAATTAGAAACCTCAAAGGGTGTAATGTAATTTCTAGAACTACAGGAGCAATTCATATTTTAAGCAAACCACAAAGGGTGTATTTGTAATTTACCCATGATTTATTTTAAAGAGTGATGCAACAAAGTGTGCATATAATATATGCAGAATTTGGAATGCCACAGGAGTCGAAGGAAGTCCTCATGTCGGGAAATTTGTAGTTAAAATGACGTTTCTCATTGAATAAATGTTAGATCACAATCATATAACACTGACCTTTTTCTCAAAGCACCTCTCTTTCCTCTTCAGGCGGAATTTGTTCAAAGCAGCCTCCCTCTGTGTGGACCTGTTTTGATCTACCCCACTCCCACTCCCGCTTCTGCTTCCGCCTCCGCCATCACCACCACCACCACCACCACCATCAGCTCCATATTTTTCAGTCACCCCATTATCACATGCAATGCTTTTTCCTTCAGTAATTGCAGCAGTGCTGCTCCCATTTTGGCCATTGCTACCATTGTTACTTCCCGAAGCACTCCCATTCAAACTGTAATTAGCAGCATTGCCTTCAATTGGAGTGCTTAACACTTTGGATGTCCCACAGTGTGGACCCGCTGCAACCATTGTCCTGAAAGACGAATCATCATTGTTGGGCATCTGCTGCTGTTGCTGCTGCTGCATGTTATGAACGTGATGGTGATGGTGATGGTAATGATGATAATGGTGCTGAACTTGGACCTGTGGGTGTGTACCCCTTGCTTGTGTCACGACCGTATTAACTATTGCAACATCGACCTTACCTGGTGTCTTCGATTGAACTGGTTGAAAGGCAGAGCAGGGATGGATATTTACTACAGATTTGGTGATTGGCTTATCACTGAAAGCTGCTGGCTTGGTAAAGGCATTGTTGGTAGTAGAGCCCATATCATTGTTGTTGCTACTTCCATTGGAACGCTGATTAGGAGTGCCATTCGAATTAGATTGTAGATTTTGCATTAGTTCTGTTTTTGCTGCTTCTGAGCTATTATCAAGTGGAGAACAGCTGCCTACATTCCCTGTTGGAGTCTGATTAGCAGTTGAAGTGGTGTTATACCTGCAAGTAACAAAAAGTCCAATAATCGTCAAGTTCTGGATTTTGACTAGGATGCAATACCAACTTCTGCAGGTTTTTAGTTTACATACCTTGAGAAGGCTGAGAGGTCTGAATGTCTCAAAACATTTCGCTCTTGAGCACTGGTACCAATTTCACCACCGTCTCTCAGCCTCTTCAAACTGAGCTCAAAGGAAGGTATTTCCTTAGTGTCATAGATGGCCTTGTTGTTGATGTTCGTCTTGGAGATGTCATTTGGGACTTCAATGTCCACAGTTTCCATCTTAGGATCAGCACAGTTGGTGATGGAAACAATAAGATTAGAGACATCTTTCCTCAATTCACCGTTTGGTGTCTCACTGTTGAGCTCCAGTTTGTCTTTTTCTAATTTCTCACCATCCTCCAAGTTACAAATTGTTTCCTTGCTAGCCCCCACTAGAGTGATTGATACTTTTTTGCTTTGGTCTTCAAGTTGTAAATCCAGATTTCTCGGGATTCCTATCTCCAAGTCTTTGCCCATTGCAACATTGTCTGAGGAGTGAAACACGGCAGGGTTTATCAAAAGAAAAGAAAATTGAGGGAATTAAGAAGACAGATAATAGACCAGTGAGGAGTGCATACCAAATTCATCGTCCTTTCCATGGTAATCCCTTGTGGCACTTGTGGGCACCCAGTTGTTGCTAAATGTTTCAGGTCTTGAATGGATAACCTGTGCACAAGTGCTATCTGGAGGATCTGCTAATTGATCCCAGGGTAACAAGGGTTGGGGGCTGTCAACTTCTACCGCCCGTTTTGTCCAAGAACTCTGCAATAAAAGAAGATAATAGTTCATTCAGTAGTTTAAATTGACTTCAAGCTTCATGCCTAGTGCTAGAAATGCGTAGCTGATAACATGAAGCAAATGTTAATTTACTGTTCTTTTGCTATCCATGTGTACATATGCATAAAATGTAGTACCACATGTACATCGGTGTGCGTCATGCCTGCATGTGGAGAAACATATAAACATCGACACATTTGCATATAAGAATACAAATATGACGTATCTGGTCAAACTCCACTCAACCTATGTGGTTTGGCCAATTTACTGCATCTTAAGCCATATTCGATATGAAATCGTTGGTCATCATGTCATTTGACACATCCTGGATCACCTTTCTTTTTTAACTGTCCTTGAAATGCTTTCAGTTTCAATTAGTTTTGTCTTAGCAGTGCAGTCACTGGTCTTCCTTGCCAATGACACATTTTGGCCAACTTCCTCTCATCATCTCTTCAATTTGCACAAAACCTTTAGGCCCTACCTGATTTGCAGGATTAATAGTGAGGGATTTAACAAACTATGGCATTAGTGTAGGATTGATTATCGAGCTGGATTAGGGGGACAAATAATTGCCTCTTATCCACGTTTATTTTGCAATGGATATGGAAATATATAATCCCAATTATAAGTTTGATTCGCATTCTTAGTTGTAGGATTAAAAATTCACCAATTTTGTTAGATAGAATGTCAATTGCAACCAAACAACGAAATGTGAGTCCCATGGATTAATAATCCCAATCCTATGCTATAATCCACCCAATCAAACAGGCCCTTAGTATTAGACCTTTCCTGGCTTACCAGTCATCATCTTTATGTACATAATTATGTGCATCATAATGTACATGTGTCTGGATATGTTGTACTAATTTGTATACATGGATCTTGTATTAGGAATTAAGTAAAAGCTCAGAGAAATGAACTTACCTTAGCTTAGCTTAACTCTAGGTATGATAGGTCATAGTCTAGATGCATTCATTTAGTTCATACAAAAGTGGGCATAAAGTCAAGCCTAATATTAGATGGCTTTTTAACGTAACATAACTGTTGAGATTTATACCACATCCCACCAACGCAAACGGAAGCACACCCACGTACACACCAAAAAGAAAAACAATCACGCACAGATTTACGTGGTTCGGCCCAAATTGCCTACATCCACAGGAGAGAGTTTCCACTATATGAATAAAATAAAGAATACATGTGATGGCCAAAACACTCAAAACCCATACTAATACCCGAACCCAATAGTTGAGCCCTTGCTCACCCTGGTGCCCTCAAGGTATTTTTTCTCTCACCTTTACATCTCTATTTTTTCCTCACTACACTCTCAAGCTCTCTCTGAGACCCTATAGTCCACATGACTATTTATAATAGTTTACCTATGAGAATCCTAATTCCATACAAATCCTACATATATTAGGTTTCCTAGTAGATTCCAGATTCTACTATCATAACCCAAATACATGTATAAACCAACCTAATAATTAATGGGACCCACCTTTATCACATGGACAAATTAATCCTAACAATCACCCCCTCCACCCATGTGGGGTAAATGTTATGTGCACCCTCAAACCTAGGTGTCCTGGTTTGCGTAATACACTCCACCTTCACCTAAAAGATGTTACACCACTTGAACCAAGTGCCCACGTTAATTGCACCTCACGCAATAGTGGTTAAACATGTTCTTCGTGCTTCCTTTGTCCTCATGCTCAAGCCGATGAGATCCGCCGCACCTCCCTAAGGTGTCTCCACTGCCATGAACGAAAACCTTCATAGTAAAGAGACCCGCGTCCTCCCTTGGTGTACACCACCTTGTCACGAAACCGTCTCAGATTTTATGCCTGAAGCTTCCTTTTAATAACATCTAACAACCCGTTGTCTTCCTCTTGGTGGCCACCAAATATCCCCGCAACGGTTGCTTACCACTATTCACCCTCGTACTACTCGTCTGATGCTTGACAGCAGCTTCCCTCTTACCATAACATACTCCACGAGCCTATACAAGTTGCCAATCATAATGTCCAATCAGAAAGATGCTATCTGATTGACCCTGACTGGACTTCCTTGTTGATAGAATTAGATTACTCCTCCCGGATCACCTAGATCACATGCAATCACCTTTGATCGCACTTGAATCTATCCAATCCCTTTAAACCTATTCATAATCTACAAATCTAACCGTACCGATGAATTTTTCGCGTGAATTTTTATACCATGTTTCTTTTTGCGGAAGCCTTCACTAGATTTTAACATTTTTTTTCCTCTCTGTGCCGTGAGACTTCACCTTACTCTATTCACGCCATCGTCGACCACCATCAATAACCTTCAGCTCTGATACCACTCGTTGGGATGCACACCCACGCATACACCAAAGAGAAAAACAATTATGCATATATTTACGTGGTTCAGCCCAAATTGCCTACATCCACGGGAGAAAGAGTTTCCACTATATAAATAAAATAGAGAATACATGTGAGATGGCCAAAACACTCAAAACCCACACCAATACCCGAATCCTATGCTCAAGGGTAGTTGAATCCTTGCTCACCCCAGTGCCCTCGTCGTATTTTTTTCTCACACCCTTTACATCTCCATTTTTTCCTCATTACTCTCAATCTCTCTCTGAGAAACCCTAGAGTCCACATAACTATTTATAATAGTTTACCCATGAGAATCCTAATTCCATATAATTAGGTAACCAAATCTTACACATACTAAGTTTCCTAATAGATTGCAGATTCTACTATCCTAACCCAAATACATGTATAGACCAATCTAATAATTAATGGGACCCACCTTTATCACATGGGTGGATTAATCCTAATAATAACTTAATCGTGACTTTTTACAGATAAATCACAGTGAGATATGTCAAATATCAAAAACTACTAATATTTCTTTGTATTAATAAAATGAGTGATTATTGGAGAAAGAGAAAAGAGGGGGGCAGAAGGCCCCATTGGGGTTTAGACCACATACATGACAGATTCTGAATCATTATAAAATCTCATGTTCCAACATGATAAAATATCTACGATTGATATCCAACAAAAAAGACTCAATCTTGTCTATAAAACTACAAAATTAGTGATTCTCTCTTCAATGATGCTAGCATTTTGAGACTGAGTCTATCCAGATTTGACATATCCCTTAATAGATAAAGATCGCAAGGTTATCCCTAGAAAGAGTTTGACATCACTACATAAGTTAACAATACTAGATATATATATATATATGTATGGATATATTTTTAGTCTAATATAGATGTGTTGAGGTGTAGGGCTAATTAACACCCTAACCCCTCTCTTGCCTAATTCTCCTTCTCTTTTCTTCTTGTCTAACTCTAAACCCTAATTTCTCATACTCAGATTCTAACTTGGTATTAGAATGAACAATCCTATCCTAGCATGTATCAGTAAAATCTAGTTGGTCGACACGAGGTGCCTGCTGTGCTAACAATGATGATGTCAGCATCGGGGACATCATTGTTGGGTGAACATATATATGTTCTAAATCATCTAGACTTTCTAAGAATTATGGTGATGTGTGTTGAATTGCTTGGAACCATTTGGTGGATTTTTTATTTTTTTGAAGATTTTTAGCCTAGGAAGGGTTTGATTTTTCAATTTGTGCCTTGTGGAGTAATTTCATGTTTTTCTTTGTTGCAACCCCTTCTACAAGTGCTGACTATAGTGTAGGAGTCCTTCTTTGAGGCTTGTTTGCATCCTTTCACATGCTTTGTTTCAACCCTTCCTATGTTCAGCCAGTTCTTGTTTGATTCTTCCTGTATTTGACATTCTCCCAGTGCATTGCACACTCTTGTTGTTCTCTTTTTTGCCTCTTCTAGCCTTTGTTATTGCTGTTTTGACCTAACAGAGCTTGATTGAGGTTTGGTGTCTCTGTTTTTGGCTTTCTAGCCATCGCTATTGCGTTTGCTTTCCCTTTGGTTTTTCCTCTTGTTCTCCTTTTGTGGGTTGTGACTTCTTTTTGTCTCATGGTTGAGGCAAAACCCCCTTACCCTTAAGAATGATGAGGTGCTGAAATCAATTACTACGAAGAAATTAGATGGGCAAAATTATTTGGCTTGGGCACACGCGGTGAAGGTAATTTTGTGTGGAAACCGCAAGTTGAAATTTATTACCGACTCTCCTATCGAGGATAAATCTAATGATGATTGGTTGAGCAAAGATTCTGTTGTGATGGGTTGGCTCTGGCATAGTTTGCAACCCCATGTGGCAACTACTATTGAGTTTTGTGAAACTTCGCAGTAGATTATGACTCTCTTGCTGAATACTTTTCCCATAAGAGCAATGTTTCTCGGGTATATGAGTTATATGAATGCATTTTTGTTACTAAGCAGTCCGGCCACTCGTTGTTTGAATATTACATTACTCCTAAAAAATTGTAGGATCAATTATTGCAGCATGGGGCGTAATTGGAGGAGTTTATGATTGCTTCATTGCTCTCTAGATTTTGGATTCTAACTTACACGGGTTTAAGAATCATATTCTTGCTAGTGAGACTTTGCCTACCGTTGCTAATGCCTACTCTCAGTTGTTGCATCCTTCATTGGGACAAAGTTCTCCTGTCACAGGCTCCACTTCTCCATTCTTATCCTCCTCTACTTTGGTCTCCCATAATGGAGGTCGTGATCAATCGCATGGCAGTTCTTGAAGTAGCCTTGGTGCTCGTGATCAACATAGTGGTTCTCATGGAACTTCCTCTTGTCATGGTGGTTCTCGTGGAGGTACTTCTCATAGTGGTCGTTCTCGAGGTAGTGGTTGGGCATCCTAGGGTGATAGAAAGTGTGATTATTGTGGTGCCCCTAGCCATACTTAACCATGGTCTTGAAAAAGTATGGTAAGCCTGATTATACTCATCAAGTTTGTTATATATTATTTACTAATAACAATAATAATCTCCATGTTTTTATTTATCTTCCTAACTTGATTCCCAATAATAATCTCCATGTTTTTATTTAT